TTTACTCATCGCTAAATTCCAATCGCCCCACTGCTACAATCTTCTGTGACTATGCAAAGGCATTCGACTGTGTGAGTCACAACATCCTGATAGATAAACTTGATTTTTATGGAGTACGTGGGATTTCTTCCAACTGGTTTATGTCCTATCTTCAAAACAGGCAACAATTTGTTAGAGCTAACGGGTCTGTCTCCGAGTGTAAATTGATTGCCAGTGGAGTCCCACAGGGTTCTGTACTTGGACCTATTCTTTTACTGCTATACATCAATGACATTACCTACTTGAAGATCAATGATAAAATTCTCCTCTTTGCTGACGACACAAGCATAAAGTGATTCTGATGCTGTGTCCCTCCACTCTAGGGTTTCCAGCGATCTCGTTATGATCAAGGCTTGGTCTGACTCTAGTTTGCTGGGTTTTAACGTCAATAAAACGGTGGCCTTATGTTATAGAGGAGCTTTACAACGCTTGCTCCTTCATAACAGCAATATTAAATTCGTTGAGTCAGTGAAATTTCTGTGTTTGAACATTAATGCTAACCTGAAGTGGTCTACACATGTTGACTCCCTAGCAAAAAAACTATCTTCAGCTTGTTTCGCAATTCGATCAGTTTCTAGGGAGCTGAATATGTTCTCCGCCAGACTCGCTTACTTCTCTCTATTTGAGTCTCACATCCGCTACGCCCTACCTTTTTGGGGATGCTGTAACATTCAGCAATTTCAAAGTATATCTAAATTTCAGAAAATAGTAATTCGCTACTTGTTTGGCCTGAAGAGTGGAGCTCATTGCAGGCACTACTTTGAAAACCATAGGATTCTTACCCTTCCCGCTTTGTTCATCTTGGAGACTGTCTGCTTGATACGCAAACATCGAGTCACCTTTCCGGAGGGGTGACAACATAAGTACCCTACCCGAAACTCAAGTCAAGATGTTTGTCTGCCCTTTCCCTCCTCGGAACTAATTAAAAACTCAATTATTTACAACGCCAAGAAATTATACAATCATCTTCCATCTCATGTGAAATCTCTCCCTACGTCTTCCAAATTTCGGAAAGGGGCAAAATCACATTTCCTAAAGACACCTTTTTATTCTGTGACTGATTTTTACTTGGTGTAGTGTCTTTTTTATGTGTTTGGCTACTCTTCAACTTAATTAAATTAAGCGTTTCCGTTTGGGCATCACATGCGGTAGTTGCCGGGGGGTTAATTAGATTTGTATGGTAGTTACAATTTTTTTACTTCGGGGTCATCGGCTTGCAAGTTCATGTTTGTTTTTATTGTTTATCAACGGGACCGCAAGTTGCAAGCGGAGCGAAATCGTATTGGGTTCAAGTTCAACGAGCAAAATT